CAGTAATGACATCTTATAAATCAATTTACAAAGGTATTTATTGTTTAAAGATCTTATTGCCTAATATTATTGGTATTAATATTGCTGAAGAACTTCTTTACCCTCAAATCTTTAATGGTTGGGGTCTACTGTTAACAGCACAAGCACCAGTCCAACACTTTAACACTAATGGTCAGAACAAGACAACTGTTAGTGCAGCAGCAGAGAGACGTGGTAAACTAAACACAGCCTTACATGGAGAGGACTGGATCCAACATTCTCTGCACCGAGGAAACAAATATTAACATGTTAATCTGGTTTATTCCACCACTCACCTGTCCAACACAAAATAAATATCGAAGGCTCCATCGCAGGAGGCATCGTCTTCACCCTGCAGCGACCAGTCCACCAACACACAAACACAAAGTAGGATCCTGCAACATGTCCATGTCACAGCCATAATCCATGTGTTTCATATCCACACAGAGTTTGTATTGAAAATATATGAAATGTCCTCAGCTCAGCTCAGAGTCCTTCATCCTCACAGCATCAGGCAGCAGCTCACATGGTCAACACTGTAATAATGTGAGTGTGTGTGTGTGTGTGTGTGTGTGTGTGTGTTTAGTGACAGCAGCAGACTGATGATAGAATAAACTGGGCAGGGCCCACAGCTGCTGCACAAACCTCTGTCAACACATCTGTAGTAACCATAGAGCTGGACTTCCTGCAGCTTCCTTCAAAATAAAGGATAGGCATAAATAATTCAAAATAAATGTCTTCAAATATTCATTAATGTGTTATATCCTTATCAAATATAAAAAAAACAATACAAAACAAAAAATCACATTATTATTTTGCTTTTATAGCCAAAAATGTATTTAATGTGTTGTCACTCAAAAAACTGTACAGTAAAGTTACATTTAAAATATGAACTGACATTAAAGGTAAGTTTATTTGTGCAGCACATTTCAACAACAAGTCAATTCAAAGTGCTTTGCATAAAATACAGAAGGCATCATGACAAATTATAAAAGCAACATAAGCCACTATAAAAAAGCATTTAAAAAGAAATTAAGTGCAATGAGAAATAGAGTAAATCAGTATACGGTAAACATGAATATCTGTAATTTCATGTTATGTGTTTAGCCTTAAGTCATAAGAAAGACTTTATTTTTATGGAATTTTGCTTACTTTACATTGTCCTGCACTGTGTTTTGCTGGGTGATTTTATTTTGAAGGCCGATGCTCTCCCTGTTGCCTGTGACACATTAGACCTGATGTCTGTAGCACAGCAGTTGGCAGAAGGATGTGAATAGAGACTGACTGACATCAGAAACAATACAAAGAATGTCAGATCATGCAACTAAATACATGACCTGTAACTATTCCTGTATTGTTGATATAGATGTGAGGGCCACTGCTTTCCTTTAATAAGGAGATGGATCCCTGAAGAAGCTTCAGTGCTTTTAAATTTCAATGATGTTTCTAGATTGATCAGTAAATGGATCTTAAATCCTCCTCTCACACTGTTTGCCTGAAGTCGGTTTTCTCCTCTCAGGACAAACGAGTGCATCATGTTCCCAAAAATGTGTTGCAGATGGAAAGCAAAGTTAAACAGGCAAACACAAAGCCCTCTGTACGTTACAGTCATTTTCTCCATCTGGATTGTTGTGATCCAGAAGTTAATCCTGCTCCTTTGTCTCAGGAGAAGCAATCGGGAAGGTCTGGACAGTGTGACATGAATTTATTTTTGATTCTTCCAAACATGTCTGGAAGATCACCAGTCTGAGACGTCTAAACCCTCCAGGAGTCTGTGTGTGTTGAGGAGCTGTAATTACACGTTTCATTGTGCTGCAGCAAGAATAGAAAGCACTGGCTGCCTGTGGATGAGGTCATGACAACAAACAATCCAAATGATCACATACCACAGTCAGTGTGTCAGCAAATTACTTCTCTTCTGTTGACTCTTGTGGGATCGCCCTCAGATATTTCATGCATGTGTATCATGTATCACTTTTATTTGAGGGTGTAGTTGGACTAGCGGACGAGGATTTCATGTCCCCTCCAAATGATCAAATCAATCTTTCCTCTCTATTCTGATAAATAAAAAAAGCTTTTCAGCCCCTGAGCCCGAGAGTAACTGTGCCAGAAACATTCAACCCCTCCTCATAACAAAGAATATTTATCTAACTGAGTTCATAAAAATGAATCACCTACGTGCACATGTCACAATATTTCCTGTGACCTACTGTCATAATAATAATCTGTCATAATCATAGACTAAAAAAAACTTCCTGTAGAGACACATCAGAAAGCTGATGATTATTTACATCATTTTATTATAAATTTAACTTCATTTTTAACTTTTGGAACAATTGAAATGTAATATTCAGCACTGTGCGACCTTCCTTCCGCAGGTTTTAAGTCAGCTGTCCCCTGTGGTTTTTAATATTTTTATGGTTTGATTCTTCCTATCAGGCACTTTGTGGTGTCATTAAGATAAAGATAACGTTTTATTATTGTTCGGTTTAATATCTTTACAGACCCAAAGACATTTTAAAACCAGTAGGTGGCAGTAAAGCACTGTTTAAATGTCGCCACAGCCTCGACAGGAGAAGAAGACAGGTTTGCGGCTGTTTGTGTTAAAACCTGAATTTGTCTGAAATCACAGATTTTTAACTTCATGTTCGCGAACTGAGCGCTCGGACATGGACCAGGTGCCCGAACAGGGACGTCGGCGGTCGGGCTGCGACTGACGGTGAGAGCTGTGACCCAGTTTCCATCAGACCGAGCCGAAGTGAAAACAATGTCAGGGTCAGCGAGCGGCGCTAGCTAGCTGCAGGTTAGCTTGCTGTTAGCTTTGCTCCACAACAACACACGCGTCTGAGGCACAGGTGATCTGTCTGTTGTGTCTGTGGTGGTGTCTTTTAAAGATTTGATCCCACAGCCACAGAGAGATGAGGGTTCTGCGTGAGGGTGAAGGGCAGGAAGCAGCAGCAGCAGCAGCTGGTGGTGTTGTAGACACATGTGGCGGCTACATCTCACATCTGTCTTCTGTTGAGCTGCTGCACCATCATGTCAGTGTGGAGACTTGGAAATGTGCTGCTGCCTCACACCGACCTGTTTTTAACCTTCTTTCCATCTCCCCAAACTTCCGCAGCCCTGAACTTCCCACCTCCTGCCCTGGACCAGAGGAGCTGAGGACAAGATGCTGCTGAAGATGCCCCAGAAGCTGCTGAGGACGGCCCACTACATAGAGCTGGGCAGCTATCAGCACTGGCCCGTGCTGATTCCCCAGAGCATTCGACTGTACACCTTTGAGCAAGTGCCCCTCTTCCTCAAAGAGAACCCCTACATCACTGACGGATACAGGGCTCACCTGCCCTCCAAGCTCTGCCTGAGGAGGTGAAGAGTTATTGTACACACCAACATCCTGCTCATGAAACCACATTTAAATGATTTGTGTGTGGATCTGCACCAAAATTGCTCACACTCCCCTAAATATGCCTCATTTTCATCTCATCAGGATGCATGAATTATTCTCTGAGAAATGCATCGGCTTCATTACTGACCAATACAGCATCCTTCCTTTAGGTTTCTCGGGGTCGTTTTTGAGTAATCCTGCTCAATGTCAGAGAAAGAAACAAATAATAAATATACAAACATAGTGATTGTTGACACTGTGCTTGTTCCTTTTTGTTTGTGTACAAAGTTAGATTTTGTCTCGCGTGTACATTTTTATATCTTCTTGTCCGTTGCAGTATTTTCATGATGTCCAATGAGACGGTGAATATCTGGAGCCACCTGCTCGGCTTCCTCCTCTTCTTCTCTCTGGGCGTCAATGACGTCTCCTCGACCCTTCCAGCCTCTGGCGCCAACAGAGAAGACTACGTCATCTACGCCATAGGGCTGTTCTGCTTCCAGGTGAAAGTATATTTGTCTGCATATGTACATGTTTGTGGTTATTTGTTTTAACTATAATGCTACTTTTGTTATTAGGTTGGCTTCAAACGTAAAGAAATGACCTCATCGTACCTCTCCCAGAGACATTACTCAAAAGAAGAATTTACAGTTGACTGAAACGTTCTATTGGGTTTGCCCAACTGCTTTGTCACTTACATGTTTATTTCCTGCCACAGGCGCTTTCATTTCACCTCCAGCTGCTCAGGTGTGTAACCTGTTGTACAGGTAGTGAATGAAAAATGCAGCAGTCTAAATGGTAGTGTTGTCCAAAGTCCCCACCGGCAGCTGGTGAACAGATGAATGTAGAGACCGTGTTAAGTGTTGCGGTGCGGCTGTTCAACGTTTGTATTGTAGGTTGTGTAGCAGCTAATAATGGAGAAGGAATGTTGTTGATATAGTAAATGAATAAACGAGACGTCGGTGTGAATCCCTCTTATAGAAAGTCTGTTGTGTAGTTTCTGTTCTCCTCTCACCTTCCTCCTATAAACCCATTATCTGTCCACATAAGTACACGTTAGCACAAGCCATGTTATAATGGCATCCATAAAAGGAGGATTAATTAGTGATGTATGTTACGTTAACAGTGTGTTTTCCTCCCAGGTGTGCATGTTGTGTTCAGTGGGATATCACCTGTTTTCCTGCCACCGATCGGAGAAGACGTGCCGTCGCTGGCTGGCATTAGACTACGCAGGCATCTCCGTTGGCATCTTGGGCTGTTACGTACCTGGGATCTTCTACGCTTTCTACTGTAATGCTGTAGGTGTGAATACTTGTAGGAATAGCATGTAGGCCTTTAAATGTGTCACAACTGTTAAAATATCTTTTAGATCCGACTGGAAAATGATCTGAACCAGAATTCTCACCAGTTTCTTAAGATTTCTTGTGTGCTCTGATGGCTGTGATTTTATTGTGAATAATCTCTTTTGTTTCCTGTCTGGCAGTTTTGGCGACAGGTCTACCTGCTGACTGTACTCTCCCTGATCCTCGCCGTCTTCTGCGCTCAAGTCCACCCTCGTTATCTCAGCAACGACTGGCGACGCATACGTACGATGATCTTCTGCTGCGTGGCCGGCATCAGTGTGATTCCCGCCTGTCACTGGGTCTGGCTCAACGGAGGATTCTCCTGTGATGTTGTACAGGTCAGGAAATATAGGTTATGGGTTTCATTATTGCTGTCATTTGACCCTACTCTACTGATTTTTCCACGTAGATGATTTTACTGTAGATGATTTACTCTCCTGACCTGGATGTTTAGTCACCCAAATACTGTTTTTGTTGTTTTATGTGCAGCTGTTCCTGCCTCGTGTGATAGTGATGTACCTGATCGCTGGATCTGCCTTCCTGTTCTACGTCACCAAAATCCCGGAACGCTATTTTCCTGGTGAGTCTTTAATTAAACCAACTGAGAGAGACGAGAAAAGTTCAGTCAGAGCAACGAAGGCTGCTCTGTCTTTAGTTTAGATGCAGTTCAAAGTTTAATGTGTAGTTATATGGTTGAGCTGCTCAGAACGAAAATCACATGATCGGATTTGTCCCCAGAGGCTGTGACTTCGTGTCTGCATCTGTAGTTACTCGCCTCATTGTTGCTGTGTCTCAACACCACTAGAGGTCATTGCATCAGAGGAACTGTAGCAGAGGAATCAGAGGGTTTGAGGTAGAAAGATCGAAATTCAGTGCAGATTTCTACTCAGCCATTAGTATTTACTGAGAATGAAGTGTGAACCTCAGTTAGAATGAATCTCTCCGGCGTCATTTGCTATTTTTGGACACTTTGACAAAACAAAAAACAAAATACATGCAGTTTTTGAGCATGTTTTAAAAACACATCTCCTCTCACAGGCCAGCTGAACTACCTGGGAGCCAGCCACCAGGTGTGGCACATACTGGTGGTTGTGATGTTTTACTGGTGGCACCAGACGGCCGTGCACATCATGCAGTTCAGGCACAGTCAGCCCTGCCCGACCCGCAGCAGCTAAGTGAAAACTGATCAAACAGTGATGTTTTAAAGAATGATCGATTGTAGACAAACAAGCAATTCAACTAACAATGTTAATATCAAAAACCAGTTAAAGCAGCCGTTGGTTAGAAGTTACTACCCAAAGGTTGATCAACCACTAAGACCCTGAGAGTGTGACAGTACTGAGGCACTATTAACTTTCACTTTCAACAGTTGCAATCAGCTAACAGGTGACTTAAGTTATCCTAACAAAAGTGAAATAGACCAGAGTGAGTACTGGTTGTGCCAAGTTCAGACTACAGGACTTTCAAAGTCATCAGATCACTGTGCAGTTCACACGACTTGCTGCCCTGTGATCGTAGTGTGAACTAGGCAGAAACAGTTCTGGGCTGCTGGCTCGTACGTGAGGCTGCTGCACCACAAAGATCCTCCCTGACAATATAGAGTGCAACCGCTGGTGTTGCAATGTAACCATTAGATCAATGCATGATGTGGGAGTTTTTATTTATCTCTTGAAACAAACTGAGCTTTGGTGGTTTTGTAGATTATCATTATCCATTAGTTGGTTTGAATTGTGATTTTTACTTCAGGAAACATTTTGGCCTCATGTGTGAACAGTGACTGTTGCCTATGATTTTAGTTTATCTACCGTTTTGTGTGAGATTAGTTAGTTTGCGTGGAACGTCTGAATAAAAGGTGGAGAGCACTGAAAAGAACATGACTACTGGAAATTCACCATTTTGAACAAAGTCTGAACCATTTGAAGCTTTGGAACAAATAGTTAAAGGTCAGTAGAGAATCAGCCGAACAGCCACATATCATATCGGCTATGGGCATAATCGTAAATCACCTGTAGTGGTTATCACACCTGACGTTCTTCTGTCATAAACTCCACCATAAATACTGTGTGTGGAAAATGTTCATCTACTTGATTCTTACGTTTAAATACTGCCAGTGTTTAGTTATCGAGGAAACGCAATACAGTTCCATATTTTAATATTTAATGGAGCCTGACTGACATGGATTTTTGAGGACCAATACCGATAATGGTTTTAACATTTTTCAATTGTTTTAAAAATGTCATTATCAAACCCTCTTGACAAAGAAATATAATTGAGGTTTGATATACAACCGTTCAACAAGAAACTTCATTCTGAATAATAACACCCATACAAACAAATATAATTATAGAAATATTACTTTTACGTAAAAGGTAAACATAAATGCAAATCTTTTCTGCATTGTTCATTCTACAAAATGAAACTTTTCATATAGACAAACATAAATACTGACACCTGTATGTCTGTAAAAAGCTCCTAACAGCTAAACGATAAATCGGTCGGGCTCTAATGTTTAATATTTTTATTTCCATAGTTTTTGTTGTGTTTGTAAATCATTTGCCTTATACAGTAACTGTACTGTATACACACTGTTACAATCTGTGTTTGGTCAAGACATGAATATAATCCAGAACAAAAATGATCAAACTCAGATATCTTCTTTCCTGTTACACACGGCCAGTATGTGTTTTATGTCTTCATAGTGAGATTTAATGTGAAATGATGAAATTCAGGATGGCGACACTTATTGCTGGAAAATGCAGCGAACATGCAGGTGCTGAAAGAAGTGACTTTATTTTGCCTTCTTTTTTTTTTGTGGGGTTTTTTTGGGCCGCCTGATGATCACAAACTGCTTGATCTCTCTCGTGAATGAACCTTTGAATGTTTTATTTTTGCCTCATGTGTGTTTCGGCGCTGACTTAAAGAGATGTATGATATTTATCTCAGTGCCTCTTTGAAAATATATTTTTTAAATATTCCAAATGAATAAAGAATGCTGGGAAATCATTTATTAGTGAGTTTGTTTTCTGATAACTTGTTGAACCATTCACTGCATTTAAAGATGGACGACATGACGGCTCCGCAAAATGGAAGCCACAGCATCTTGATTGCCCCCAGGAGATATTTGGAAACCACATCTACTTGTCGTGCCCAACATGTTTATCTAGCTTTAACCAGAACTTTAATATTTCCCTGAACTGAACCAGAGCACATCTGAAGCCTAAAGCGAACCACAGACACAACAGTCATGTGCTCTGTACGCCTGCCGTGTGTGTGTGTGTGTGTGTGTGTGTGTGTGTGTGTGTGT